TGGTGGTGCCCTGGGCTGCTAACTGCAAGGTCTTTCTACTCCCATACGGAGTTACAGTCTCAGAAACGCCCAAGGGCAGCTCCACCTTGTCCTACAGGGTCACTATGAGCTGGCACTGACTCCATGGCAGTGAGTTTGGTTTTGATAGGGCAGCACGCTATCTTGCACAATCCAGGTGGAAAAAAAAAGGCTACATAAAATGGAAGGGAGAAAAAGAAACGACTAATTTCTACATGATTACACTGACAAACACGCACCTAGTCCAGAAAATGATAAATCTAGTATGATTAATTTAGTAAATGTCTTTACAAAATAATAATTTATAAATTATCAAGGGCTCATGAGGGAGGGGGAGCAGGGAGGGAGGGGAAAAATGAGGACCTAATGCCGGGGGCTTTAAGTGGAGAGGAAATGATTTGAGAATGATGAGGGCAATGAATGTACAAATGTGCTTCACACAATTGATGTATGTATGGATTGTGATAAGAGTTGTATGAGCCCCTAATAAAACGATTTAAAAAAAAAGATGCCTTTAAAATAGAATTCTAGAGGTTAAAGTTCAATTTATTCATTAGTCAAAAATTATTTATTCCATCAATGCTTACTGTATAAGGAAAGAATTGAGAATAATGGTTAATGAATTTATAGAACTTATAGCAAAGTAAAAGAGAAAATTATATATGAAATAATATAGAATGTTCAAAGTGATGACTAGTATGAGAGATTGCAAGTCCCAAAGGAAACTCATTTGGAGGAAGCGGGGAGGAGGCAACTGAAAGGTCCTGTGGTCCAGCAGTCAGCTGCTTATGGTTCATTAAGTTATTCAGCAGGGGGCAGCTATGGTCCATAAGGCTCTAGTAGCCCAACTTTCACCAGAGTTGGTTGTTGTTCAATTATCTGAATCAGTTCCAACTCATAACAAAACAAAACACTGACTGGTCCTGCGCCATCCTCACAATCATTGCCATTTTTTAACCCATTGTTGCAGCCACTGTGTCAATCCATCAGATTGAGGATCTTCTTTGTTTCTGGCTTCTCTGGTTTATCAAGGATGAAGTCCTTCTCCAGGGAATAGCTCCCCCTGATACATGTCCAAAGTGTGAGATGAAGTCTCACTGTTTTCACTTCCAAGGAACATTTTGACTATACCTCCTTCAAGACAGATTTGTTTGTTCTCCTTGCAGTTCACGGTCTAGTCCATATTCTTTGTCAACGCTCTAATTCAAAGGCATCCACTTTTCTTCTGTCTTCTTCATTCACTGCCCACCTTCTTGTATTCATGAGGCAACTGAAAAGACCCAGAAAATATCCATGGGACATCCTCTTTGCTCTTCAGCACTTTAAAGAGGCATTATGCAGATGTGTTCAAAGAAAAACACCATTTTATTTCCTGAGTGCTGCTTCCCTAAGAACTGATTGTGGATTCAAGTGAAATGAAATCCTTGACAATTTCAATCTGTTTTGTTTATCATGAAGTTACTCACTGGTCCAATTGTGAAGATGTTTATTATCATTTTATTGACACGTAATCTATACTGAAGAGCGTATGGTCTTTGGTCTTCATCAGTCCATGCTTCAAGTCCTCCTGTAACAAGTTTTTCATCTTTTCTCTCTCTCTCTCCTCCAGTAAAGAGTTATGGTCATGGAAACCCACAGGGGCTATTCATCATTTCTTATGACCCACACAGTCAATGTTTTTGCATAGTCAACAAATCACAGGTTTTTGGTATTCTCTGCTTTCAGCCAAGATCCATCAGATATCAGTAATGCTCTCTCATTCCCTGGGCTCTTCTGAATATGGTTTGATTTTCTAGCAGTTCCCTGGCATTTAAAAAGTATTGCCGTCAAAATTTTACTTACATATATTACTGATATTAATTAATACTTTCTGCATTCTCTTTGATCACCCTTCTCTGGAATGGGCCCAAGTATGTATTTCTTTCAGTCACTTAGCTAGGTGACAACATTCCAAATTTCTTGGTATAGACATGGAAACACTTATAGCACTGGATCCATTTATTGAAAATCTCAATTGGTATTCTGTCAACACCTGGAATCTTGTTTTGGCCAATATCTTCAGGGCAGTTTGGATTTCTTTGTTCAATATGATGTATGATCAGTTACTTGATTATAAGCTACCTCCAAAATGAATGAATGTCAACCAATTCTCTTTGGTACAAGGGTTCTGTGTATTCTTTCCTTTTTCTTTCGATGGCTTCCTATATAATTCAAATGTGCTCACAGATTCCTTCAATATTTCAGCTCGAGGCTTGAATGCTTTCTTCGGTTTGTTTAGCTTGAGAAATGCCAAGTCGTTTTTTATTCTCTTTTGGTTTTCCAAGTCCTGGTATTTACAAATGCCATTCACATATTTTAATTTTTCTTCCACAGTCAGTCTGTGAACTCTTCTAATAAGCTGATTTAACTCATCCCTTTCATTGGCTTTAGCTACTCTGTGCTGAGGAGCAAGTTCCACAGTCTCTTCTGCCATCAATTTTCATCTTTTTCCTTTCTTTTTTATCTTTTTAATGACCTTTTGCTCTCTTCATATTTGTTATCCTTAATGTTACCTGTTCAGTGTGTCAAATCTATTTTTTGAGATGGTCTTTAAATTTGGGTGGGATATACTCAACAGGGTTTAGTCAACTATAATAAGAAAAATAGGTTCACTAACAGAAGAGCTACTATACAGCTGCCGGGCAGTCAATCAAAGTGCTGGCTAGCCATGACAAATTAGTGGTCTCCATTAAATGAGATTATATGAGACTGCCACCACCACCTCACGTCCACTGTGTGCTGCCACAGAGTTGATACGTGCAGGCACGTGGGACACTCAGCTGGAGGAAGAAATTAAGGTATAAAAGCAAAGCTGCTAACCCCATTTGAGTGAGTAGGAGAACAGTAAGGCCTGATACCAAGAAAGACTAAAAGCAAGCAAAGATGATAATTACAAAGAGTTAAATATTGACTGCAAAACAAAATAATAATAGCAGCTAAAACTTGATATGTGGTATCAGAATGAACAAAATACCAATGATCGAGGCTCAATTTTTATTCAAACAACAGACAGGTTAATAGGGGAGCAATAATATCAGGAAGATATGTGCACCTTAGAATAATCAACCATTAGAGATATAAAAAGGGCAGCATTACCCAAGGAGAACATTCAGAAGGGTTTGGAACAAAGGAAAAATGGAAACAGAAAACTCATGGAGAAAGTGGGATATGTGAAGTTACACTGAGTAGATTGTAGTGAATGAAATGAAATTAAAAGTACATGAATTGTTGAATGTGGGACACTCTAAACTTCCACTCAATTCACCTAAAAAAGAAATGCCAATGGTCCCAGGGAAAGGCATACAGAAGTTAACAGTGATATCCAAAGACAAACAATGTCCAAATGTGCCTCCTCCATATGCAATCCCTCCAAAGATCTGAGCCCGAAAATACCTCCAACCCAGGTTCCCAGTAGGCAACCAGCAACTCTATGACATAGCCTCAAATATGATAATTTCACACCCAGAATAAGCATAAATACACAGGAATTTATGAAAGTAACTAGAATAAAAGTAAAACATGTTTGAAGATCTTACATTTAACTTCCATGCAGCATGGGAAGAGTTCCAAGAGTGAAACAGTGATTATATTTTATGAGCCCATTTGTGGTATGTTTAATATACACAAATTTATAAACTTGTATTTGCACAGAAAACAACTATATGGATATATATCAACTCTTAACGGTTCTTTTGGGGAAAATTATATTGATAAAAAAGTAATTTTGTTGTTGCTTTTAATTTTTAACCTTAAATATTTCTTACTATTTAATTTTCATTCTATAAGAATATATGGCTTTTATAGTACATATATACAACTTTCGAAAGTCTCAATTTACAAGAAGGACTTTTCTCTGTAATGAAAGAAACGAGGATAATTCATCTTATGACTCAATCTGATAGCTTTGCTTTTAGGAACTCAACTCACTACCATCAAGTCAATTCTGAGTCACTGTGACCCTCTAGGGCAGGGTAGAACTGCCCCTGTGGGTTTCCAAGACTAACTCTCTACAGAAGTAGAAAGCGTTCTCTTTCTCCCAGGGAGTGGCTGGTCTTTACAAACTGCTGAGCTTTCGGTTGGCAGCCCAATAATTAATCACTGTACCACCAGGGCTCCTAACAAGAAACTACAACCTTGTAAACATGATCTAGACACAGTAACTGCACAAATGAATATGTTATTATGTATATAACTAATTTCATCCTAATCTCTTAGTTTCATTTTTCTATTATCATTACTTTTCAAGTGACATATAAGCCAAAACAAAACAAAACAAAAATCCAAAGTCCAAACCCATTGCCATCAAGTCCATTTCCACTCATAGTAACCTACAGGACAGAGCAGAAGTGCTCTCTACGTTTTCTGAGACTGTAAATCTTTACATAAGTGAAACATCCTTATTTTTCTCCCATGAAATAGCTGGTAGATTAGAACTACTGACCATACTGTTAGCAGTCCACAGTATTACCAGAGTTCATGTACATTCACAAACTCTCTCTCTCTCTCTCTCTCACACACACACACACACACACACACTTTTCAAATTAATATACATGTAGTAGTGTTTGAGCTTGCTTTTCAGTTCGTGAGGGCAGCGCAGGTCATATTATAAGGGCCTTTTCATCAGAACTAATTTAGAGAAGGGCTGATTCAACTACTGAACTGGTGTCAAAGACAATGCACTTAAACTGGATTATCCCTCCTGTCACCGTGATTTGGGCTTTATAATCTCACCTAGACACAGACTGCCCTCACACTGATAAATCACAATTAACATGTACAAATACATAAAGGATCCATGTCAGTTCTACAGTGAGACAGAAGTGACTGTAGCTGGACTGTCACTTGACACCACTCAGAACTCTAAAAGCAAGTATATTTTACAATGGAAAAGCCCCAATTCAAGTTAGACAACCACTCATTGGACAGCAGCACTCACTTACCCCCATGACTTTGCCACGCTGTTCAACATCCTCCCACATAAAATGAACTATGATACGACACATGTATTTCCCACTCCGGCCTTCTTGCTTCATTCGGACTAGACACATCCTGGGTAGGAAGAAGAGAGAGAGACTCACCACTGTTTGCATTTTTCACATCACAATATTTCAGCTAAGAATGATTTCTGCTCAGGAATCCAGAAGTTGGAAAGGGGCCTTATTTAAAAAGCAAAATTTTATTAAAGTATGACATACATACTGAAAAATAAGTACATGGATCTCAAGTGTCAGCTCAGTAAGATAAAACAAAACACACCAAGCCAAACGCACTGCGGTGGAGTCGACTGTGACTCACAGTGACCCTATATGGCAGAGCGAACTGCTCCTCGGGGTTTCCCAGGCTGTAAATCCATACAGAAGCAGACAGCCTCCTCTCTCCCTTGGAGGGTTTCCGAGGCTATAAATCTTTTAGGAAGCAGACTACCTCATCTTTCTCCCATGGAGCAGGTGCTGGGTTCAAACTGCCAACTTTTTCCTTAGCAGTCCAGTGCTTACCAGGATGCCTAATTAGAAAATAAGCAAGTCTAGCTTTCATCTTACTGATAAAAACTGAAGTGCTAAAGAAGAAAAATAACCAGCCCAACACCACACAGTAGTCTGTAATGCTGAGTATAAAACAGTATCGTCCAAGAAGGCAGCCAATTGTCACACATGGCTAATGAGCACTCAAGCATGGCCAGTACAAACTGAGATGCGGTGGAAGTGAAACATACACACTAGATCTCAAAAAGCTGGTTCAAGAATTAAATTTTCTTACTACATTTTTTTATATTCTTTTTTTATCATTTTATTGGGGACTCGTACAGCTCTTATCACAACCCATCATACACCCATTGTGTCAAGCATATTTGTACACTTGCTGCCATATGCTGTCTTATTACATTTAAAAAGTATTGTTTACATGCTAAAATAATATTTTGGACTTAAAAGGTTAATAGAAGCATTATTAAAATTAATCCCATGTATTTTATTGACTTTTTAGTGTAACTACTAGAAAATGTTTAATTACATATGTGACTTGTATTAGATTTCTGTTGGGCGTACTGGTCCAGAATACACATCATAGAAAGCATATGGATGACTATGTATAATATCAAATTGTTCAGGCACACTGTAATCTAAGCTCCACTGAAGGCAAAAATCAAGTTTCTTAAACTATTGTATTTCCAGGGCGTAAGCACACCAAAACCCAAACCATCATCATTGAGTCCATCCCAACACATAGCAACCCTGTAGGAAAGAGTGAGAACTGCTCCTAGGGTTTCCAAGACTGTGCATGCACCTTTACATGGGCAAGCAGCCTCATCTTTCTCCTGGGGAGCAGCTAGTGTTCTGTTAGATTGACTACCTCTTGGTTTAAGTGTATTGAGCACTTAAATATATTATGTGCAGGTATCCCCTGCTTTTCAAAAGTTTACTTTACACCACTTCACTTTTACAAAAGACCTATATTTGTATTTGTTCCCACTACCAAAAAATACAGAGGACTTTTGGTTTTACAAAATTAAGAAAAGCAAAAGTAAAATTAGTATTCAGTTGTTTTGCAGCAAGTTGTTAAAAGAGGTAGCATGCATCCCAAGCAGTGAGAGTGGCATCTCCAAACTCCTTCCTCAGGAGCTAACATTCAGAATCTGGGTATTGAGCCGCCATAGCCTTGAACTGCGTCCGTGAACATTCTACATTAGTTCTATTTTAGGTTTTATGTATTATCTGATAGGTTATTTTGGGGTCCTAGAAATGCTAAAAAAATTTTCCCATATATATTGATGGTTGCAGCATCTTCACTTTATACCTTTTCTGCTTACAGAAGGATTTATAAGAATGCTCTACTTTCAGGTAGCAGGGAAAATTCAAATGTGTGTGTGTCAAAAATTTTATGGAAAAATTCTATTATCTTTCAATTCCATGTTTCCATGAGCTTTTTGAAGCCCCATCATATGTATATATCTGCTGGATAAATAAGTGAACAAAACATCCCAGAGTTAAGTTTAGGCTCTTTCCCTTATACCCCATTTCCTTTCATCATCCCAGGGAGCTTAAGACCTTACACATGGTGAAAATATAGACAGGGTCACCCACTCTTCAAGCTAATTCCTAATCTCATTCTTATAATCATATGTATTTCTATCATCTTTCAGTAAATAGCTAAGCATGACTATTCATCTAAAAGACAGTTCTTTTTTTTTTTTTTAACATTTTATTAGGGGCTCATACAACTGTTATCCCAATCCATACACACATCAATTGTGTAAAGCGCATTTGTACATCGTTTCTCAAAACATTTTCTCTCCACTTAAACCCCCGGCATTAGGTCCTCATTTTTCCCCTCCCTCCCCGCTCTCCCCTCCCTCATGAGCCCTTGATAGTTTATAAATGGGTATTTTGTCATATCTTGCCCTGTCCGACGTCTCCCTTCATCCACTTTTCGGTTGTCTGTCCCCCAGGGAGGAGGTCACACACAGTTCCATGTAATCGGTTCCCTCTTTCCTACCCATTCTCCCTTTACCTTCCCTGTTTTGCCACTCACACCACTGGTCCTATAGGGCTCATCCATCCTAGATTCCCTGTATTTTCAGTTCCTATCTGTACCAGTGTACTTCCTCTGATCTAGCCAGGCTTGCAAGATCGAATTCGAGTCATGGTAGTGGGAGCGGGGGAGGAAACATTTAGGAACTAGAGGAAAGTTGTATTTCTCATCATTGTTACATCGCAACCTGACTGGCTCATCTCCTCCCCGAGACCCCTCTGCAAGGGGATCTCCAGTGGCCTACTAATGGGCTTTGGATCTCCATTCCGTACTCCCTCATCATTCACTATGGTAAGATTTTTTGTTCTGATGATGCCTTACACCCGATCACTTCGACACCTTGTGGTTGCATAGGCTGGTGTGCTTCTTCCATGTGGGCTTTGTTGCTTCTGAGCTTGATGGCCGCTTGATTACTTTCAAGCCTTTAAGACCCCAGACGCTATACTTTTTGTAGCCCGGGCACCATCAGCTTTTAAAAGACAGTTCTTGCTATAGTTATGGAATATCCAACCTGAAGTGTCAATTCAATCTCCATACACAGTTAATCCTGCCCACTATGGTTTTAACAATAGACTGGTACAATAGCATGGTAGAATGGAAGGAGGTATTCCAGTCTCACCTGCCTCAACATCTGTTAATGACTTAGAACATTTACTCAATAAATCTGCAGATGACAAGAAACCAGGCAGGAAAACAAATATGCTAGATGACCCAACTATGGCTCCCCAATTCATCAACAGCTTGTTTCAATAAGCTAACTCTAATGAAATGAATCTTAACTGGGGAAATTTTAGGGCCTTGTTCATGAGCCTAAAGAACGATGATAGAAGTGCAAGATAGAGGATCATGCCAACTTACGTATTAAAAAAACACTTCAAGGCTTCCACATGATAATGAGGTGTACAAACCTTGGATTACAAGACCAACCATTATGCTGGAATAAGGACCAATCAGGAGGCAAGAATAAGGGCCAACAGAAAACAGGATAGGGGATGAGGTAAGCCAAGGAGGTACTGCTACCTGAAACCTGTAAAATCCAATGTGGAATCTGACATCATCAGATTCCACAAATCATGAGGTGACCCTCTTCATGATTGAAGTGTACTTATTAAATCTTAGCTGTGCTTAAAAACAAAAGACTTACAGGCTTAAATGGATATAGTCCAGCTTTAAATATGCTAATGAGATTCTAGATACAGTAACAGAAACCATTGAGAATTTTGTTCCACTCAGCACAGACCAGACTATTTGGAATGCTGTCCCTAATTTTGAACTTTACATTTTAAGAGACAAAAGCAAAAGAGTCTAAAGAAAAACAGGGGAGTTGTCTTAAGTATTGTAGAGAAGTGACCAGACCTTATATCCTAACGTTAGAAGTGGATCCACAATAGGTAAGCTATGAAGGGAGATTTACTCAATACTGAACAACAAAGCAAAACCTTTCTAACAGGTGTCTGAAGAGTCAAATGACAGAATAAATGACCTCAAAAGGTAGAAGTTATCTATTATTGAAAGGTGAATAAATGCTTGGTTATATAGCTAAGCTATATAACAGTAGGTTAACTACAAGATCATCAAAGTCCTAGCAGCCTTGGGATTTGTTGATTCTGTCATTGTAAATTTGTACCCTTCTCAATCCAGCTAGTGCCAAAAGAAGTAACACTTGGGACAATAATGAAACAAGTCATGGGAAAGGATTTGGCTAATTCACATGATATCGGGCATATTCCAATGCGGAAACAAATTGGGGAATGTCCAACAGTCCTTTTTCTAAGAGTTAATCAAATCACTCATGTAAGTCTCTCACGTGAAAAGACGCTGTGTGTTTTGATGCATAAGTGTCGTCAGAAGCTAATTCATCAACACCAATAGTGAGGTAATGGAATTCTTCATTTATTTGAAAATCTGTAGTTTGTTAATACACCTGCCCTGAGATTTAAAAGTTACAGATTTTCTCAGACCATAAACTTTCTAACTACATCAAATTTTTGTTGTTGTTTCATAGCATAATTTATTCTCGAGTCCTTACAGATGACTGTCTGCTCAAATAAATGGTTGTCTGTGTTGAAAGCACAGCAGAAGGAAGACACTTTCAAGGTGCGGACTGAGAGTCAGTGCACCAATGAACACGAGGGAGGCTCCTCTGATAGGACACTGCATGGCTGGATGGTGTTAGGCTCACAGGAGCAGCTAAAGCTAGAGTCAAGCTTTCAAGGGGCAGTTAGGCCCCTGTGGGAGAGAAAATCTGTCATATACAAACAAGCCTAAAACAGAGTGCAGTAAGTCTCTCATGAGAAGCACAAAGCGCAATTGGTTTGAAAGGATTCATTTTGGCTGAGTGGGATCCGATTTTCATGGAAAAGGCAATGCTGTGGCTGGGACTTGGAAAGATGAGTTGATGTTAGATAGATAGAGACTAAGAATAAAGGGAATTTTCAATAGATGGAATAATATGTGCCCAAGCAGAGTGAAGGAAGGGTTCAACACGTGGTAAGGGAACAATGGAGTGCAGGGTATATAAA